CCCGGGTCAACGACAAGCCGTGCCTCCATCCTGTGCTGGCCCCAGGCCACAGCTGCAGCCTGCTCCATGCAGATCCAGGGGGGCACACCCCTTCTTTCTCCCATCCCCCTCTCCCTGGACAAGCCACTTGTGGCTGTATCCTGCTCCCCTTCCCACCCTGGCTGGTCAGCCCCAGCCTTATTCCCTCCCTCACCGCAGGGGCCTCATCTGCCCCACCCCTCACACCCCTTCCCTCCACTTCCACCACACCAGACTTACCAGCTGGATGCAGCTCTTCAAGCTGAAGAGCTGCATATCAGAATTCGGACTGGTATCGGCTGATATGCCTCATTAAAAATCGGCTGTCGGCCCTCAAAATCTCTATTGGTGCACCCCTACCATTTGATCATCCAGAACTTGATGACCCTTTAGTAATGAAACCCATTTATGCAAGTATGGTGTTGTCATTTATTATTTGTGTTGTGTTAATGTTTAGAGGTCCCATTAAGGATCAAAGGACAACTGTGGCAAATGCTGTCCAGAAACTTCAGGTCCCTGACCTAGAGCAGCGTTTATTATAGTATTAAGAGATCAGCACACCAATAATGGTGCGCCTGTGGACTCTCTTGCCTTGAAATAGAAAATTTCTGGAAATATAGTGCAGAGTTATACTGGAAGGCTTTCTGGGCCTTAGCAGAAAAATGTTTTTAACGATCCTGTGAAATGTTTGTTCATACCTACCGCAGAGCAGAGTTATTTCATGCATTTGTGGCATTTGCGAAAATGATATTGAACAGTGCTTAAGGCACATTGAAAACAAGTATGGTTTAGCACTCTGTAGATCGGGGTGCTCAACCCCTGGTCTGTGGACCAGATATGGCCCTGGATGCCAAATCTTATGGCCCATAGGGACTCCCCATGAGTTCATGGGAAACTCTGCAGGGTGTGGCCTTACTCACTAGATTGAGGGAGGTGCAGGGCCCATTCCTGGCACTTGGACTGGCCCCATGCCACTCAACCTAGCTCATGGGGACAAAAGGTTGAGCACTACTGCTATAGATCATGATGAATGCTGTGGCCTTTTGGATAAGCCAAACTCAGTGGCATCTTCTCTTTGCATTTTGAATTCTTGATCTCTCAACTTACTTTGGTGATTTCTGGCATCTTCTGGGTTTGGTCTGCTGTAAAGATTCAGTGTTTCTAATGTATATCCCTACAGTCTATTTCCCTTGCCTGGTCTTTTGTTATAACTTAAGCCATGGTTTCTAATAGCTTAGTTAAGGAAGAAGATTTTTCTGACAGAATCTTCTTCTTGTCTGAAAGTATATGGGTAACAAGTTCTGGTTATCTGTACAAGTCCTCTGACTTGAGCTGACAGCTCAATTAAAACAGTGTCTTGCTTTACCTCACTTCCCTAGATGTAAGCATTTTGTAATCTGGCTCCATAGGGGGGAAATTTTTTTTTTTCTCACAGTTCACAGCTGGAAAGCTGGTCTCACCTTTATCTTCTCATCCTGTTTGTATGGCTGAGGTCAGCATTATTGTGTGGGAGAGAAACGTGAAGAGTAGAAACTAACTCAGCTAGTGAGAAAGCAGAATGGAAAATGCTAGTTTTCCTTCTGACATGCCTCAGAGACCACTGATCTCCCCTGGAGCATTAGTTTTCTAAAGGTTAACTCCTCACACTAACTAGAGGAAAGGAAACCAAAAGCTTTGATTTCATGTCGGTGCTTTTGATGGTTGAGAGGATAAGATGGTTATCTAGATTTCACATGGTTGTGCTGACCAAGCCTTTGCTTATCTCTAGCATCTATACCCGCTGTACCTCTCCCAGTGCTCACAGTCTCCCTGACTGATGCCGTATATGCTGTTGGTGTTGTGTGTGTGTTTTTTATTATTGCCCTCATATACTTATGATACTCATATACAGCTGCTCTTATGCCAACTCCCCTACAATTTGTTACTGGAGCAGGTCCATTAGATTTTGTGGGTGCGTCTACATGTGCATTAACACACTCCAGTTAATGCGCCATTAGATCTAGTACCTCATAGATTTCACAAATGTTTAGGGACGGAAGGGACCCTAGTAGATCATTCCTGTCCAGGGCAAGGGACTGGACTCAAAGAGCTAAGGGGGGATATTGTGGCCGTCCCCTCAGCCTTTTCTTGTGGAGGCTGAAGAGACCCAGGTCCCTCAAACTCTCCTCGTAGGACCTTACCTGCAGGCCCCTAACCATCCGAGTAGGACCCTGTCAAGGTTTTCCATATCCCTCTTGAAGTACTTCCATTGTGAGGTGCTAGGAGAATGCGCATTAGCTTGTTTTACTGTGCATTAACTGAAGAGTATGATTTTTAAGTAACACAGTTTTTTCAGTGATGCTTTAATGCACATTAAAATAGACTAATGTGCTTTAAAGTGCATGTATAGACACTCCCACTATGTCCATCTGTTACAGGTAGGAGGTCTTAATAAAATATTGGCTAATTATACCTTGTGGCTTTCCCACAGCTTGCAACTGCAATGGGCGGTCTCAGGAATGTTATTTTGACCCTGAGCTGTACCGTTCTACGGGTCATGGTGGCCATTGTGTAGGCTGCTTGGATAACACTGATGGGGCCAACTGTGAAAGGTGCCGGGAAAATTTCTACCGCCTTGGAAGTGAGGAAGCATGTCTCCCATGTAACTGTAACCCTGTTGGTAAGTAGGTTTGCAGAATATTTTCACCTGTCACTTTAAACATCTGTAGCTACTTTGAAACTGACCTTTTAATCAAATATAATGTATGGGATGTAATATTTGAACTTGAAAATATGAAATAAATCTGCTCATAATTTGTGTCTATTTAGGTCTGATATCATGTAGAAAATGTGCAGATCATAAATGTTAAGCATATACTATGCCTGAACAGTTGGTGCTTTTTTCAGATGAATTCCAGATGAATTTTTGCTTTGTACCATGATATGCTATGCCCCCACACACACCTAGTAGGTGAAACTATGAAGTCAATGTAGTCCATTAGAATTCTTGAAGATGTGTGTATCCAAATCATCATAAATTCTAATCCTTTGTTTTATTAAAGTTTTAAATAAGGCATTTGTGGTGGGGTAGCTAAGCACTGCAGTGTGAACCAAACAAGCTTTTTCCAAAACATTGTTAAAGAAAAGTCAAAATACATAGCAAGATTATATTTTGATGAGAATAAAGTTCTGGCACAAGAAAAAACCCAAGAGTAGTGAAGTTGATCATTCAAACCATACATGGACCAGCCCTACAGGAGGAATAAGGAAAAATAAAAGGGTAGTAGTTACTAAAGTATGATGAGATGATTAAAAATAGACCAGCTGAAATAAATCTGTGCTCACAGTATGTACTAAAATCAGCCATTGAAGGACAGTATCAGGCCTATCTCTTTTCTAACTCCAGAAGGGGAGTTTTACAATCAAGAACATTTTGACCCAGGAAAGGCCTGCATGTCTCTTCCTCTGCCACCACTCCCAGGCTTTCAGTGGACTTAGGTTGAGATCAAATTTTGCCCAATGTTAATGGCAGGCAGGGGCATGGGATGAGAAATGAACAGATATAAAGAGGTACATTTCAAAGGGAGTAATATCTTAATACTGAAGTGTTTGACTTTGGATCCTGTGGCATATTTGTTATTCAGTGTATATTTAAAGTATGTGGGTTGATTCAGGGTGATATTTTTATCTGCATAGTGATTTTCTAAATAATTATGGACTGAATTGCTGAAGGGATTTGAACTTTGCCTGTATATGGTAAAGGTTTTGTGAGCTGTTTGTTCTTACCCATTCTGTCTAGTTGGATCCTCTTAGGACTTTTTCACTTTGCTATACTACAGTTTTTACAGTAGAGCATGAAGTCGAAGGCAGAACCCATTCCTTTTCTTCTAAAATGCGGTGTTATATTTTATTTTCGTCCCTTGGTTAATACTAGAACACTAAAATTTTCCAGATTGCCAGCCAAGCAAATGCTCAGGAGAGAGCATCCTCTCTTCAATAGGTTAAAAAAGCTTTCCCTATATATAAACTGTTTCTTAATATTTTGAGGGTCTCCTCACAAACTGACTCTCATTTCTGTCTTTCTCCAGGGAAAGAAACTAAAGTTTACATTCATTGTATTTGAATAGAGTGTAGCTTTAAGAAATTCCCTTGCTAAAAGTGTGAGACTTAATTTGGAGTCCTGTACAGGTCATGAATTCCACCCGTGGATGTAGCTCAGTAGAGTTACATTTTGCTCTTGAATTCTGTCTCGGAACCAAGAAGAAAACAGAATGTGGAGGAAACTGGTTAGGGAATATCCAGGCTAAGGGGAAACTAAGGCGAGTAGGTGTAAAGCAGGGACTTGGACAAAATAGTGTCAAGACTGAGAAGGTTGTAGGTGCTGTGCTGAGAATAAGAAGGCAAAGAATGAAATAAAGTTGCAAGGAGAAAAATGAGAATGGAAGAAGAACGAGGGATAAAACCCAGTATAAAAAGGAGAGCAAAAACATAAATAATAAAATGGCAAAGGGGGATTGCAAGGTCAGTGTAGTTTTATTATGCACGGATGCATATCTGCATGTTGTTTGAGCGATCATGGTGGCATAAGAAATTTTATGTTAATTAGTTGCAGCCCCTAGGCTGTTGGCAAGCTGTCATTCTCATCCTTGGAGCTATACTTCGCTGTTCTTCTCTTCCCTTTCCCCAGCCATCCCATACAGCTTTCTTGAACAAGTAGTTTGATCTGAACCATCACAGGCTAATGCAGTTCCCTTATCTCCCTATTCTCAAGGCTCCCTCAGCACACAGTGCGATAATTATGGTCGCTGCAGCTGCAAGTCTGGTGTAACGGGTGATAAATGTGACCGATGCCGGCCAGGGTTCCACTCTCTCTCAGAGGCTGGGTGCAGGTAAGGGATTCTTGGCCTGTAATTGAAGTAAAAGTTGAAGAAACTACTTGATCTATAGGTTCAAGTAGCATGAGGATTTTCTATAAGCTTTCTTCTCCATCTGGCTTCTGTACATATTCCTTGGTGGGTGTTATTTCTTCACTCTCCTGTCTGTTTCAGGTCATGTTCTTGTAATACTGCTGGTAGCACAGATGACTGCAACATCGAAACAGGGCGATGTACCTGCAAGGACAATGTGGAGGGATTCAACTGTGAGAGGTAAATGGCTTTTCCTCAGTCTCTTCCAGCTGTTTTGTTGAATGTGGAATGTTTTAGGTCTATGGCTGTGTGTTTGTAAAACAGTGGAAAAATTCAGTTTCTTTCTCCTGCTCATCTTCAGATGTAAACCTGGGTTTTTCAGTCTGGATCCAGCAAATCCTAGGGGCTGTAACCCCTGTTTCTGTTTTGGACACTCCTCAGTCTGCACGAATGCCATTGGCTACAGTGTCTACAGCATCACCTCCAACTTCCAGTTTGGTAAAACCTGACCTTCCTTTGACTTTAACAAGGCTGGGGTATAGATTTGAGTCTAAAAACTAATACTGTCTCTGTGCTGCGGTACCTAAATATAGAAAGGTTTCCTTTCCAGAAATTCAAGTACCTGCAAGGCCTATCCCTATGAATAGGTGCTTTAAGTGCTACGCCTCTTTGAAATATCAGATGTTTGTTATATAAGTGGTTAACTCTGGGTCTGACTTTCAACATCTTGGTTTGAAACACTAGGTGCATCTACACAGGCACTTTACTGCGGAGTAGATTAATTAGCTCTGCAATAAAACATCCCGGTCTACACATGCGTCGGTATTGGTGCACGATAAATTAATGCCACCGTAAGATAGTACTGGGGACAGTACTATCCTACTATGGAGTAATTTACTGCATTGAAATGCACATGTAGATGCTGACTGCATGTGTAAATTGTGCCCAGTCATCCCAGTCAGCCAGGGGCCTGCTCCACCCCAGCTCAAATTGCTGCCGTCCCAGGTGCATGTGCCTGGGAGCAGTTTACTGTGGCTCAAACAGCTCTAGAGTTTATTGCTTTGCATTAATTGCATGTGTAGATGCACCCACTGACATGTATGTTATAGATACAAGCACACTACACTTAAGGGAGAAAGTGTTTTCTCAACCTTAGAACCCAGCCAAGTGTTCGGGATTCTAAATTTTAAGAATAAAACTCTTAGGTTTTGAATTCTGTTTGACTGTGGTAAAGTGTAGGTTGTGTTTTTTGGTAGCAAGGGAAGACTTGCTTCTCATACGGTCTGTCTTGTTTTCATACACCAATACAGACTTTTCTATTGTTTGGAGAGCAAGTACTTAATTAAAATTAAGTAGTAAACAACAAAAAAGTTGTAAAGTGTGTTGAAGACCGGAGTTTGGAAGTTAGCTCATAGTGCAGTGTTTCTCAACCTTTTTTGTACTCTAGGCACCCCTTGATAAATTCAAGGCACCTCTTAGAAAATACTAGCTCTTTGTTTTCACTCATTTTTTGACTATGGAAAAATAGTACAATTTTTCTGTTGCAAAGAACTTGAAAAACTCACAACGGGTCAGAATGTTTTTTACACTGTGAATTCCTGTTTGAAGACTCTGGGTATATCTTGTAGGTTACGTGTTAAGTTAGCCTTACAGGGCTAACATTGCATGGCACACTGGGGCACCCTGGAAAGGATCTCAAGGCATTCCAGGATGCCATAGCCTCTGGTTGAGAATCACTGTGGAAGTGGGTGCAGTTTGTATGATGTCGTAACTTTAAAAAATTCTAGGTCTCACCTGGAAAGGAGTTCCTTGGCTTTCTAATAGTAGTTAACACACTTTAAAGCCATTTAGCACCAGTGGATAAAATTCAGGGTAAAAATTCCAGCACTGCTGAGCAGTATTCTACATGCAGTGTGTGATGTGATCCATTTTATGGGGCTCTTGTATATCTGGGTTTCAGGTGAGGATGAGTGGCGTGCTGAACAACGAGATGGCTCTGAAATATTACTCCAGTGGAGTGCTGAGACCCAGGACATCTCAGTTACCTCAGACAGCTATTTCCCTATCTATTTTGTTGCACCAGGTAAGTAGTGTCAGAGATGAGATCCTCTAAAATTCACCAGATTGCCATATTGTAACTTGTTGGTCTCTAATCATAAGGGTTTATAATTCTGTTCCAGGCAAGTTCTTGGGTAACCAGGTTTTGAGTTACGGTCAAAACCTGACCTTCTCCTTCAGAGTGGATCGAAGGGACACCCGTCTGTCTGCAGAGGACCTGGTGCTTGAAGGGGCTGACTTTAGAGTGTCTGTGCCTCTTATTGCTCAGGGCAATTCTTATCCCAGTGAGAACACACTGAAATACACCTTCAGGTAAGCCAGTTTTCCATGTCACGTGGAAAGAAGAGGAAGGAAGGGGGATATCTAACATGGAACAGACATTGGATTCAGTGAGAAAAGTAACAGTGCTAAATTTGCTCTTTTAAATTGGAACTTGTTCTGTAACTGAGATTAGATTAACCAAGGGCTAACTCATTGGCAGTTGTGTGTGAATATATGCTAAATATGTTGTAGCAGCATATAATTGCTGGAATGGGCCATGTAAAGGAATAAAGTTATTTAGTGCGTGAAAGCTGTGAATCATGTAAATAACCTTGATTCTTTTCCATAGACTTCATGAGGCAACAGATTACCCATGGAGGCCAGCTCTTACCCCTTTTGAGTTTCAAAAACTGCTTCACAACTTGACTTCTATCAAGATCCGTGGAACGTACAGTGAGAGAAGTAGGTATAGAAATGAGGTTTGGAGTAGATAACAAGATGTGCAAACCATCCGCATTATTGCAGAGTAACAGTGGCTGCTGTGTTGCAGGTGCCAGTCACAAATATCTAAGGCTAGTAATTTGTCCAGAGTCCACAAATTACAGGAGCTGACCTCTTGTGATTTCAGCTTCCTGGACTTTTTGCACTGGCCTAGAGAGGAAATGCCATTACAGTTATTGTCCTCTCCCCTGCTTCTGTAAAATACAGGCTAGATTTAATTGGTAACAAATCTGGCAGCATACTTGGCCCATTCTAGAGTTTTGAAGAAAGTCTCAGCAGGGATCTTTTAATATGGGGTGGGCAAAATACAGCCTGTGGGCTAGATATGGCTCGCCAACTGATTGGATCCAGCCCACGGGTGGACACCTACCAGTTGATTGCATCTGGCCTGCAGTTGCCCCTGCAGTGCTCAGCATGGAGCTGAGCGCTGTCTGCTTCCATCTGGGGCAGCCTGCATCATGTTCCCCCCTGTGCCCCTACCCTTGGCCCTGGCCCCGGCCCCAGCTAGTGCACACAGCTCCCAGCAGGGCTGCTCCTGGTGTGGCTGCAGCCACCTGGGGAACTGCTCAGTTCCTCCTCCTCCTGCTCCTGCTGCTGCTCTGGGCAGCAGGTAGCACAGGGAAGGGGTGCAGTCATGGGGGTGTGTGCTGGGTACCACACACCCAGCCAGGGAGGGAGGGAAGCTGCAGCTAGGTGACTCCTGGCCCAGTATGTGGGGCTCCACTTCCTGTCCACCTTCTACCCACCTGGCATAATGAACAGCCACCTGAAGGCAGGCAGAGTGGGTGGAAGGCAACTGAAAGCTGGAGCTACACATGCTGGGGCAGGAGGTGCCAGGGTGCAGCTTCCCCCTGCCTGGCTGGGCTTGTGGTGTTTGTCATGCATCCCCATGGCCATTGTCCTTCCCTGTGCTGCCTGCTGCCTAGAATGGTGCAGCTAGGACAGGAGGAGTTGTTGCTGGAGGTGGGAGCTGAGCAGTTTCTTGAGCAGCTGCAGCTGCACTGGGAGCAGCCCCACTGGGAAGCTGTGCATGCTGGCTGGGGCTGAAGCTGGGCAGGAGCACAGTGCGGGCTATCCTGGGCAGGAGCAGGTAGGGCTTGGCCCCATTTGGAGCACCATGGGGACAGCTGAGGGGGGTTAGGGGCAGACCACACCTGCCCCTGCACTGCCCGGGCAAGCACTGCTGCACGTGCCCCCTGCCCCTCCTCCCCCCTCCGCCAGCTCCCAGGACCTAGCGCATGGGTAGCACCCCCCTCCCCCCCAACTCCCCTCCGCACATGCAATATACTAGAGTAAGACTATTTTGAGCTATTATGCAGTCATTTCTATATATACTACTCAAAAAACATAAATCAGAACAATTTAAAAAAAATAAAATTAAAATGTGTTATACTAGATACTTGATTTTTAGCCTATGATTTGTTTTTATCTATAATTTGTTAAAATGATATCCTCTAAAGGATTTTGTGTGCATGGCCCTTGACAACTCACTAAAACTTAAGTAGCCCTCTAGCTGAAATAATTGCCCACCTTTGATATAGATTAAAGATATATATCACTTCTGTGGTGCTTGTAATGTGTCATGAAAGAATGGACGATGAGTTTTCTAAATGGGGATGGGCTGATCTTAAAAGCTCTTCATGTGCAGAACTTCAGTTCACTTCAGCGGAAGTTCCACAGAGGAAGGATTTTTGGGACTGGGTCATAGAGATAAAATGTTGGTGGCTGAAACACTGTTGCATAACGGATTCACAGTAAAATAGCATGAAAATGTGTGTATGAATGTAAAGGTCAGGAAGCTACAAGAATTTTAAGTAGAATCTGTTTACATTCAAGGAATGTATGGATTATGAAATGAAGAGGAGGAAATGTATAGAGGGACTTGACTTCTGAGCATTCCTTTTGCTGCTAATGTCCCAGGACACCTGGGGTTCTTCTTGGAGTGCTTGAACTTCTGCACCAATACCAACACCCCTACATTGTTATAAACAGCATAACAACCACTCTATTTAGAGAAAACGCTGCCTAAGAGGAATTGCACCCAATCTCTGTAGTAAATTACCAAGGGAAGTTGAAGTTGGAGGCAAAACACCCAAACAATGGCAGGTAGAGGGATGCCTTAGTTTTTTTTCTGCTACTATGAGAGTGCAGTTCTGGTGAAGGATCCATTATACAAGTTTTACAGATGCATTAAAGATTCAGGAAGTTTTGGTCTTTGCATCTCTTATGGAAGGATAGAAACTGTTTGGGAATACCCACAAGGTGGGACTTTTACTGTCAAGCTATATTTATACAAATTATAATTTCTGAAGCTGCATTGCAGAAAGGCTGATACGTAAGTGTCATTGCTGTGGGCCTGTGTAGCTCACGCAGAAGAGACTCTCCACTTCACTTCCTGGCTTGTGTGTGTGTGTTTCCTTCCTCTGAGCTACCTTGCATCCTTCTGTAGCCTAAATAATTATGAACTTTCCTATCATAGTGGTAGTGAATCCATCTCTTGACACTGCATAATTGGTGCCATGAACAGGCTTACATCTGACCTTGTGTACATCAGCTTGTCTTGTACTGTTTGTTATGTATGAGTAATGAAACCCTTCTCTTTCCAGATGCTGGCTATCTGGATGATGTCACAATTGTGAGTGCTCGTCCAGGGCCTGGAGCCCCAGCAGCATGGGTGGAGAGCTGCACCTGCCCAGCAGGATATGAAGGACAGCTTTGCGAGCACTGTGCCCCAAGTTACAGGAGGGAGACTCCTAGCCTTGGGCCATACAGTTCATGTGTACTGTGCACCTGCAATGAGCACAGTGAGACATGTGATCCAGAGACTGGTAAGGAGGAGAAATGGGAATTGGTATACAGGGGTGAGCAGTAGGAGGGTTCCTGGATTTTCTTTTCAAATAATGGTGGTGTCAGTGACTAGAGAAAAGTGAAAACGTCCTGCTATGGGTTTTTTTTCTTCCCACAAAAACAGGTGCATGTGACTGCAGGCATAACACAGCAGGTCCTCACTGTGAAAAGTGCAGCGAGGGATATTATGGTGATGCGACTGCAGGCACTTCCTCTGACTGTCAGCCATGTCCGTGTCCAGGAGGCTCAAGCTGTGCCATAGTGCCTAAGACAAAAGAGGTGGTATGCACGAATTGTCCTTCTGGTGTCACAGGTATGTTCTCTATTCAGAGCTTTTGAAACCCACTGGTTTTCAGAACTGCTTTACTGTAGATCTGCTTCCACTAATGAAGTGAAATGAGCAGAACTGAGTGCTTCCACCTTTTGTTCTGTATTTCTTCTTAGCAGATAGTTTGTAACCGGTATTGGGTTCACTGTTTTTCCAAAGCTTAATGCTGTGAACTCCAAAAAGCCAGTTCTTCCTTGAAGAAGAAACAACTGAGATTTAATTCAAGCAAAGTCTGAAAATGTCTATGATATGCGAGACATACAAACATCTGATACAGAGTACTGTTGTTCACATGATGCTGAGGTGGGTCTTGGCAGAAAATAGGAGCCTGTAAGAGTCGGTGAGGGCTGCTATTCTTCCTGCTCTGATGCAGACAGAAATAGGGGTCATATCTCCCCTCTGCTATCCTGGCAGACATTGCGTACGGTTTACTGCAGAAGGCTTTTTCTGTCTAGGAGTCATAGTCTTTAGTGAATCATCAGGCCTAGTGAGCTGATTTGTAGAATGTGTTTTTAATAACCTGAAACAGAAGTGTTTCATCAGGTGCTTTATTCTGATTGTTAGCCAGAGTATGTGGGTATTAAACTCTTCAAATAAAACCTCTCGTGTGTATGTAATCAGCACGTAGAATTCAAAGGGGCACTTTACTCTAGACCTTGAGATGAATTTATGCTTGACACCAAGCAGTCAAAAGAACCAGATAACTATAAATGCTTGTAAGAACATAGCTGAACTAAGACTGGCTCTGAATTCCTGCCCAAGTTTGCTGTGCCTGGCTAAATATAATAATCTAGAGATCTGCTTGTGGGAGGTGCATGTACATGCAATAAATTCTTGATAGAGTTATTGTCCAAAACTGTAAAGTTGAGATCTTAAGTCAGATTTTGATTTGGGCTTATCTTTGGTTATAACTGGTATGTCTGACATTCCCACACCAGTCACTGTTGAATCTATGGGGTTTCAGTGCCTCGTGCACCCCTCCTAAATATACCCTCTCTTATGATTTGGGACAGGATGGGAGAGGGAACGAGAAGAAGAGATTTACCTATAAAAGTGTTTCCTGAGATGCAAACAGCTTTTCTCTATCTAATGAGTATTCTGTGTCTCTTCTTAGAGAAGCCTTCTCAAGGGTCTGAAAGAGTGCAACTACTGAGAATTACCATTGACGAGTCTTAAAGACTTTGTGAAGTATTTGGCTTTTTGCATAGGAAATTTTAGGGAGGGATAAAATGTTCAGACACTGGGTAGGAAGACAGGGGAACTGAGCTTTGCATTGGTGATTGCCTACATTGGAAAATGGCACTAAAAGCACTCCTAGTCACCTGACAGGTATAGGCAAATTTCCAAAATTGGTTGGCTTTAGGAGTTTCAAGTGGACAATACATGAACAGTTTTTTCCAAGTATCTTATTGTTATCACTGCAAAAAGACTGAATCAGAGTGTTTCAAATAGTAATTTAGCTAAAAATCAAAAGGCAGCTTTACTTATGAAGGTTGCTGCATACTCTTCCTTGAGAGCTCCAAACTCACCATGACTTCCTTGTCACATCACAATAGATGAAGAAACAAGATGAGAAGGGCTATATAGCAGAAAGGGCTGTAAAGAGAATCCAAATTAGGTTTTAATATATGGCTTCCTAATGTAATGTGTGTGTTCATCCTGCCCCCAGGTAAAAGGTGTGAGTTATGTGACGATGGCTATTTTGGAGACCCTCTTAGTGAATATGCTACTGGAAGGCCTTGCCGTCTCTGCCAGTGCAATGACAACGTTGATCCCAATGCTGTGGGAAACTGTAACAGACAAACAGGTGAATGCCTGAAATGCATCTACAACACAGCTGGCTTCTACTGTGACCGCTGCAAAGTTGGGTTCTTTGGGAACCCCTTAGCTCCAAACCCTGAGAGCAAGTGCAAAGGTAAGTGCTGCCTTTTGTCCTTTCATGCAGGAAAATCAATGGATTTATCAGAATTACAGACACAGCCTCTTAATCTCTACAGCATACCTTTGGGATAATTGGATGATCTCAGGTGTCTGTTCTTTTGTACTCAGTTTTTTTTTTGTCAGACCAAGACAAGGGAAAATACCGGAATTCAGATCATGGCATTGTGTGCAGGCCTCCTATAAAGTGCAAGATTTAATTCTATGCTGATGTTTGTGACCTGTTAAAATGGTGTTGGTGTAAATTTACCCAGAGACCTGACAAAACGTGGATGCACTGTATGTGGTGCCAAAGCTGCTGTTTGAGATATGCACTGGTGTGCTGTATGACATGTGGGAACTGCGGTTGGGTACTTCTTGCAGCATCAGTACTCTACTAATTTCTTCAAATACATTCTGCTTTCTTGAAGCTTGCAATTGTAATCATTATGGCACGGTGAAACAGCAGACGAGCTGCAGTCAAGTAACTGGACAGTGTGAGTGCCTGCCACACGTCATAGAGAGGGACTGTAGTGCCTGTGAGCCTGGCTTCTACAACCTCCAGAGTGGACGGGGCTGTGAGAGGTGAGGTTGACCTCTGCTGTGGCAGTCATGATGTTTCTGTGCTTTCCAGGTGGTGGAAAGTTAATGTTAATGCTAGTTTGTTTGTTATAAGTGGATTAGATTATACATGCATGGTGATTGGACAGGAGGAGAGGATTAGTTAAGGGACAGATAAGATGAGACTTGTATAAGAAAGATAATTTACAAATAGCTGTAAATGTGTGTTTTAAACAGAAAACAGTCTTGGGATTACAGGAAAATTGGTAGCTGGGACATCTGGATTCTGCTCCTAGTTGAGTTGCTGACTCACTGTAGTGTTGTGCAATGCAGTTAACCTATGCGCCTTGCTTTCCCCATTGATAATTCTGGGACAGCAATGTGCACTTCATATGGGTTGTGTAAAGCTTAATGTTTGTAAAGGCTTTTTGAGATCCATGAATGGAATTTGTTGCGTATGTGCAGCCTGTTGTATTTACTGCTTGCACTGAAATATGGGCTCCATCAACAGGTGTGACTGCCATGCACTGGGTTCCACTAATGGTCAGTGTGACATACAGACTGGGCAGTGTGAATGTCAGCCAGGCATCACTGGTCAGCGTTGTGAGAGATGTGAGGTCAACCACTTTGGATTTGGACCAGAAGGCTGCAAACGTAAGTAGTGTGGGGATGGAGTTGGGGTGATGACCTGTTTTCTCATCCTTTCCTCCCTGTTTTCCCTGTGTTCTCCCTCTCACTTCACCATTCCCTTACATAACATAATCACAGTGTGTGCATTTGTATGTGCGCATGCATGCTCATCCTGAACTTTGAGTGAAGCCTGGTCTCAGTGAAGTTGTTTTCCTCTTGATTTATTTGTAAGACCTTTTTCCTTTCTCTCTCAAGGGGCTCTGATTGCATTTACTTGTAGACATCTGTCTCTCCTTGGCATAAACACTTGTTCTGAATCTTGGCCATGAATGGTTCTGTTTTCTGTCCTCTAAACTCCTATGGCTCTGTTCTGGAATGTGGCCTTACGGTGCTGACTCATTTCTGTAAAGACGCAAAGTGTGTAAATCATGACATGAGAATAGGACTATGACTAAATCCTCTCCCAGCCTTCTTATTACCGTGAGAGCAAATTCATTAATTGAAGATCATTCTAATGAGAGGGATGGGTAGAAAGGTAATTGCCTTTGGGAAACTGGTGTAGAAATTTTCTAGCCTGATGTAAATATTTCAGCCTGAGAGGTGTGCTTACATGATAACCAGGGATCCAGGTTTTTCATTTAACATAGAAAAACGGAGTAAACTGCGGATTTTGCCTTTTACCCGAGGCAAACATGGATTTCTCATTTTACCGGAGAAACCTGCAGATTTTACAGTTTTGCAATGAGCTCCCTGCAGGCTAGGGAGGAGGGGGTGCCACATGCACATACATGCACATGGCCCCAGGCAGCCTGGAGAGCAGCTCCCACAGGTAAGTGGCAGGGGGAAGAGAAGTAAATTGAGGCCCCCGTAGGGAGGGAGGGAGTTGAGCAGGGCTGGGGCTGGGGATGCTGCCCGGCTGGGCAGTGCATGGAGCTTGGGTACAGGGACCACAATGTGCAGCTGCAGGGCCACAGTGGGGTGCAGGACAGGCAGCAGGCTGCTTGTGGGGGGTGGCTCCCATGGCACACTCCTAGGGGGCAGGGGAGAACCATGCCTCCCAGATCTGTGTGTGTGGTGGGAGTAGGGGCAGGTGTAGGCTTTCATAGTAGTAGTAGCTAGGGTCAGGAGGGATCTGAACAGATCATCTAGCCTGACCCCCTGCCACAGGCAGGAATGAATGCTGGGTTCACAAGACCCCAGAGAAGGTAATCATCTACCCTCTTTTTGAATTTACCCAAGGTAGGGGCGAGGACCACTTCCCTAGGAAGTTGGTTCCAGATTCTGGCCACCCTAACTGTAAAATATTGCCTCCTGATCTCTAACCTAAACCTGTTCTCCATCAGCTTATTACCATTGTTCCTCGTCACCCCAGGTGGTGCTGGGGAGAATAGGGCTCTTCCTATTTGCTGATGATCCCCACCCCTGATGAGTTTGTAGGCAGCCACCAGGTCCCCCCTCAGCCTCCTCTTGCTGAGGCTGAGCAGGTTCAGGTCCCTCAGTCTCTCCTCATAGGGCCTATCCTGCTGCCCTCTCACCAAATGGGTGGCCTTCCTCTGAACTTCTCCAGGCTGGCCACATCCTTTTTAAAGTGCGGCACCCAGTAATGGACGCAGTACTCCAATTGCGGTCTGACCAATGTCATATAGAGGGGGAGTATCACCTCTCTGGACCGGCTTGAGATGCATCTTTGGATGCATGACAAGGTATGGCTGGCCTTGCTGGCTGCGGTCTGGCACTGGCGGCTCATGTTCATCTTGGAGTCAATAATGACTCCAAGATCCCTTTCCGCCTCTGTGC